TGCTGCGCCTGCCACGAAATCTGCGCATGGAGGTTCACAAAGTGCTGTGCCTGCCACGAAATCTGCACTTCAAGAAACAACTGAAAACACGAATCACAATGGAGGGACGATTCCGACCATGATCCGACCGCTTCCCCGTTGCGGTTCGGAGAAGCATGGAGGTTCACAAAGTGCTGTGCCTGCCACGAAATCTGCACATGGAGGTTCACAAAGTACTGCGCCTGCCACGCAATCTGCGCATGAAGGTTCACAAAGTGCTGTGCCTGCCACGAAATCTGCACTTGAAGAAACAACTGAAAACTCTAATCACAATGGAGGGACGATTCCGACCATGATCCGACCATGGCGCGAGACTGTCCTGAAACCGTCGTTCCGCGGAGCTTCCCCGTCGCGGTTCGGAGAAGCATGGAGGTTCACAAAGTGCCGTGCCTGCCACGCAATCTGCGCATCGAGGTTCACAAAGTGCTGTGTCTGCCACGAATTCTGCGCATGGAGGTTCACAAAGTGCTGCGCCTGCCACGAAATCTGCGCATGGAGGTTCACAAAGTGCTGCGCCTGCCACGAAATCTGCACATGGAGGTTCACAAAGTGCTGTGCCTGCCACGAAATCTGCGCATGGAGTGCTGCGCCTGCCACGTAAACTGGAGCTAGAGCTATTGAAACTAGAGCTAACTGGAGCCAGAGCTCTTGAAACTAGAGCCCTCCGTTGCGGCAGCTCGGTGAGCGACTGGTGGAGATCCTCCCAGCTCGAGCCAAGGCTTGGTGAGGGGGAACTCACCATGCCTTGGCCACCTTGGCCCATTTGGGCGCGAAGCCAAACTGACCAAGAGTTCAAGTCTACATAGAGCTCTTGAAACTAGAGCTACCTGAAGCCAGAGCTCTTGCAACTAGAGCTAACTGCAGCTAGAGCTCTTGAAACTAGCTGATGAGTGGTGTATGATGAGTGGTGTATGATAAGTGGTGTATGATGAGTGGTGTATGATGAGTGGTGTATGATGAGTGGTGTATGATAAGTGGTGTATGATGAGTGGTGTATGATGAGTGGTGTATGATGAGTGGTGTATGATGAGTGGTGTATGATGAGTGGTGTATGATGAGTGGTGTATTGATGAGTGGTGTATGAACAGTTTTTGAGTGTCCGTAACACGGAAGTTTTGCACACTAAACTTCCTTCGACTAGCGACGGCCTCCAGCCTTGGGCTGACCTCCAGCGGCCTTGCGATGGCCTCCTACTTGTCACTTTTGTTTTTTTGTGCGTACTAATTACCACCTACTAGCGATGACCTCCAACCTTATAGGTGTTGACCTCCAACGGCCGTGCGATGACCTCCAACCTAAAAGCGATGGTCTCTAACCTACTACTTGTCCTGATATCTCAGGTTTTTTAACTCAGGCCGGCGTGTGGCACCGCATTCGCATCCGTACGCAATTCAATAAGTGTGTGTGTGTGTGTGTGTGTCGAGTGTTCAAACATATTCAAGCTCAAACGTGAGAAATGCGAATTCCGGCTGTGCCGGATGAACCCTTTGCACAAATCATGTGTGTCGAGTGTGCTCAAACGTGAGGCGAAATGCGAATTCCGGCTGTGCTGGATGAACTCTTTGCGGAGATCGTGCGTGTCGAGTGTTCAGTGTTCAAACATGAGGCGAAATGCGAATTTCGTGGCCGAAGTGTGTAACTGTCGTTGAAGTTGACGGTGGAAGGCGTCAAAGTATGTAACTGTCGTCGGAAGTGGCGCCGGCATCTGGAAGTTGCAAACGTGTGTAGCTGTCGTTGAAAGCGAAGGTGGAGGTGGTCAAAGTGTGCAACTTGGCGGTTTTCAAAGTGCGTAACCGTCGTTGAAAACGAAGGTGGAGGTTGCCAAAGTGTGTTTCTGTCGTCGAAAACGGCGGTGGACGTTTTCAAAGTGTGTAACAGTCGTCGAAAACGCAGGTGGAGGTTGCCAAAGCGTGTGTTTGTTGCCGAAAAGGACACTGGAGGTTGCCAACTGTCGCCCAGAACTAACCATCATAACCATTCATAACCCACTGTTGCTGGTAATGGGATAATCCCAAAGTGTACATATAATATATAAATATATATACTAAGACTGTTTTTTTTGTCGGCCCTTTTTCATCCTTTTTCTCAGCCTGTGAACGCCAAGGTATTTGCCGAACTACCAAGAGACCCTGGTGCACTACCACAAGTCCTTCGGGGTCCTTCAGGACCGGAGTGATATGGAAGAGCTTGGAACTTGTTGTTTCTGCACAATATTGCGCACAATAAAAGGCACTAGATTTTCACAGATGTCCGCCGTTTTTCTTGATGTGTATTCTTGTGCGCTATTAGGTTGGAAGCCATCGCTATTCAGTTGGAGGCCATTGCTAGTAGGGGAGGCCATCACTATTAGACGACTTATTGACAGAGTCTACCTCACCTGATCTGGACGTGTCAAGTGCCAGATAGTTCCCACAATTGATTTGCACAGCAAATAAGTTCTGGATATATTGTGGACCTGTTTGTCCTTGTTCGTCAGGAGCTCTTTGATCACAGGGACTTCATTGGTTTTGCAGAGGAGATTCATGGCCACGGGGCCTATTTCTTGCATTTGAGGGGTACCTCTACATATACCATTCATTTGTTGAGCAGACATCTCAGCCTGTCCCTTCAAATGCTGTCAACCATGTCCGGTTGTATTTACTGCTGGTGGCTGGTGGATGGATTTTTTGGTGCCTTCTGGTGACAACGTGATCAGAATTTAGAATAATATGAAATTTCAGTGCTGAACAGGTGAGTTCCTATTGTGCTGAAATACAAGACAGACGTTGACTTAGACTTGGCCATTGTTCACTCCCAAGGCATTGCGAACATGTACAGTAAACACTGAAGGCAATGACATGAACAGAACCGATATTCCAAGTCGATTCGACCTGTCCGTTTGCGGGATCTCCGTTGTCAAGAGTTGGAAAACACCACGCAACACTGCTTGTGGACTCTTATGGTGAATACTCTTGGGACTTTTTCTGACATGGTCGTGGAAATTTTTGACAGTGATAAGGCTTCTTTGCGGATATATATTGGCGCTCTTGGGCAGGGATGAGAGTCGGAAGTGCCGTCTGAAGAATGCCAAGTCTGGCATATAGTGATTATGTTCTTGCATTTGGGACTTCTGTCAGAGCCTTTCACACT